GTAACCGACAGCGGGTACAAAGGGCTGTTACATCACAATCCCATGGCAATATATCCCTCTGATTAGCTTAACTGTGTCCATTCTCCACGCCTGGAGTGTACGTGACTCCCACGCCAACTAACCGGCTTTCATCGCACGAACGACTCAGCTTCACGAAAACCTTGCCTGCAGACATACCGCACATTGAACTAAATACCCAATGGATTACCGTATTAACTCATTACTTTTTCTGACCCCAGGTACGTTCAGAAATCCCTAATTTCATTGAATAAATATCCCACGGTTAGCATGTCAAGTACCCGCGCTCCTAATTTGATAACCGCTGCAGCAATTGGTAACGCTATAGGGGTATTCATTGCCGGCTAGCTTGAACGCACCAGTGTTTTGAACTTGAGTTGGGGCCAGACGAGCCTTTTCAAAAGTATTGCAAAAGTATTTGCGCTGAGAAAAGAATTCAGCCTAAAGGGCAGAAGCTTTATTATAAAACGGCGTAGGAAGGCGGTGTCAAAGAGGTGAAGCTACACAAGCGTGTCAGGTCCTGGCTGGTATGTTGTGTGGGGGACAAAGTTGGTGTGTTGTATGGGGGACCTGCATGACAAGGTGTAGCTAGCTGCATGTTCTCTGGCATACCTTGTGACCTAATTTAGAGGCTAGGGACCGCGGGTGCGTGAATTTGTTCACGGTAAGCAACAGTTGGATTCGAACCTGGATAGATCAGATCGCATAAGTAAGTTTTAATTTGTTCTATTTTGTTTAGTGTATTTTAGTTGTCGTTTGCAGGGAGTTTCAGCGTGGTCTTAGTTTTGTCTTTACCCTTAACAAGGCAGTGGGCATGTTGTTTTGTGGTTTACAGCTACAGTGTGATATTTGCGCATTTTAGACTAACATCCTATTTCTGCAGATCTTTAATTAGTCGCCTGTTACGACATGCTTAGAAACTCTTCTAGTGCCAGAAAGTTTTGTAGCAGATGTCCAAAGTGGCAGAAAACCACTTAAAAAAATATGTGCTGCCAGGGAAGTGACCAATGTAGGAGCCGGATTTCACTTGTCGGCTCTGAGAGAATACATAAGATAAAAAGAACACAATAAACACATGAGCTAAAATAACACAATAAACACATGAGCTAAAATAACGCAATAAACACATGAGCTAAAAGAACGCAATAAACACATGAGCTAAAAGAACACAATAAACACATGAGCTAAAAGAACACAATAAACACATGAGCTAAAAGAACACAATAAACACATGAGCTAAAAGAACGCAATAAACACATGAGCTAAAAGAACGCAATAAACACAAGAGCTGAAAGAACACACAAAATACATAATCTAAATGAACACAACAAATACATAATCTAAAAGAACACATCTGATGGCTGAGATTTGCTAGACTTCAGACTTTATGTGCCTCTTGCTTCTAAAAAAGTTCAGGAGACATCGAGGTGATTGGGGTGGGGGTGTCCTTTTTTTCAATTTTTAAAAACCAATTGAAGCAATAATTAGGTCTGGGTCCTACACAGGTATCTTCTTCTGTTGCCTTCTACCCCTCCAGTGGAGCATAGGTCCTCGGCCGACTCACGTCAAGTCGTTCTATCCTTCGCCATTGCTTGATTTTATTTCTATGCCCCTGTGGGCTCCAGTGCAAAGACGTTGTAGTTACATTGTTCTCAGCTTTTCTCAACGTGTGTCCTATGCAACGCCAGCGTCTTTTCATCACCTTCTGGTCCAGTGGAACTTGTTTGGTTCTCAACGAAAGCTCTACATTAGTGACTCTATCATATCATTTAATTCCCTCTATTCTGCGCAGGCGCCAGTTAATAAATTGTAGTTTGTTAGCAATTTCCTAGTGCTATGAAAGCAATTCTTGCCTTTTGTATGCGTATTTCAATACCTCCATCAGTTCCTCCATTTTTATCAACATTGCTGCCCAGAAAGGTGCACGACTCCACGTCTTGGAGTGGGATACCATTAAGAGAAACCAGACCAAATGCCTGGTTTATTTTCATTGAAATTCAGCAGCTTGGTCACACACAAAGAGGTGGGGTGGGGGTAGGGGGCATATCGGGTAGGTTGCTGAATACTAAATAAACCTGTTTGTAATTTAAATACAACGACAGTTAGTTGCGTATCCTTGACAGGAAGTTGCAGAACCCAACTCCAGCATTTGTTGGCCGTTTTTAATGTACTAGGCAATTTAACATTGAGTAGTTAAATACAGTTAAAAGCAGTGTTAAATTTGAACAAACGAGACATTCAGAGCAGACTGCATAAATGATTGCCTGGTGTATTTCGCTGTAACATGTCAGATGCATGCTACAGTACCAGAATTGAATATGCCAAAACTACGCTTTCGTGTATCCTCTTACAATAGTTACATTTCAGCGTGGCCTGTGTTTGTATTTCACTTAATAGGATTCAGTCATTTGCTTTATGTTATTTAATTAGGTTACTGTAGTATGCACACATCCGACGGAATATGTATCACAGAGATAAAGAACAGAATTATCATCATCAGTGGCTAGCCGCCTGGCGTGTGCGATCGTGCCTCTCCGCAATCTGCAGTCTGCAAGTGCCTGTATCAGTTTGTGTGTTGAAAACTCACCTAAAGCATGGCTATTTTACTAAGTTTACTCGGGGGCCAACATGCTGAAAATGTGGTTGGTGACGGACCACAGGCCCGAGCTCCTGCCATTCATAGGACACAACTAGCAACAATCCGCGGGCCACTAGCTATGCATCCGCGGGCCACATTTGACCCACGGGCCGCCGGTTAAATAGCCATTCCCTAAACCCTTGCACTAATCCGCCACAGACTGGCTGGCCTATTGTGTCTTCTGTCTCCATTCATAATATCCCTATTTATGTGAATGACCCACGGTTAGCTGAACTATTCTGATGTCTGGGTCTCCTAGAACTTGACTGTTTTGTTTTGTTTGACCTAATCTGCGACCAGAGCCCGAAAGACACCACTGGACTGAGAAAATAGACATTGGTCAAAAATGTTACTGACTACTCTAAATTTCATGAATAATTAGCTGTTAGTTTCACACCACGGACAGAGCAATGTGATCAGAGATCCCGATATCAGGCGAATATTTATGGATTTTGATCAGCTAATTAATCTGATATTAATTCACACCTTTTACTCGTAGTTTCTATTAAACGGACATTTTTGTAAGCCTTAATTTCGATTATAATATTATTTACAACCGTCTGTTATTTTTACGACTAATGCGTTATTGTGAATATATTAATTTGATTATGGCACCGGTTTGTGAACAATTAATATTCCAGAAATTCAACAAAAGTTCTTGGTGACGCTTGCTGATTTGAGTATTTGTGTCCAGGAACTTTGAACTGTACAAGTAATTAACCGTGTATTATTAATATGTTAGGTCTGCATTCTCTTTCTTTTTCTTCACGTTCACCAAGCATGTCGTAAAAGTTGACTAATAAGAGGTGAGTAATTTTTCTAAGTCGGCGTGTAACTGCCTGGGAAACAAGGGAACAACAGCTTGCATGCAAATAAGTCATATCTGTAAAATGGATGCGCACGTAAAACCCAAGTTCTGGAATAAGACTTAAAGTCCAGAAGTGGACGAAAAACCGACACTTTCCGCCGTAGTTTACAACCGATGAACGCTAAGAAGAATAAAAAGTATTAAATTGTTTATGTAATTAAAAAAAAATGTCCACGCTAAGAATGGAACCGAGACTGCTGGAGTCAGACATCCAATTATCATTATCTGTGCATTGCCGTACACACAGTCAGACAAAGCACAGCTTGTCACAACTGTTCCGTTGGCCCTTTCCCTGGTTTCAAGTGCTTTCTTTGTTTCTGGTGCCCTCTCGAGATAGCTCGGATGAGAGCTGTTAAGTGGTTAGCCGCGTTCTTAGTCTTAGTTCGTGTTAACTAATATTTGCTTCGGTGCTTGTTGCTCAGTTTTATTTTGTTGGGAGAGATATATAATCTTTTCAATGTCCTCTTTCTAGTACGTTGTATAAGTTTGTCTTCAGTTCTTTATCTGTAGTTCTAAGACGTATTCCAAGGGACCTAAAAATCAAGAGTTCTTGTAAAAACAAAACGTGCATTAGGGTCTCAAATTAACTTTCTTGCTTCAACATTTGTGTTATCCGGGTGTTCTTCTTAAAGCGAGTTTTTGTTAATCAGATCTTGTATATCTTCAACATAGCTCGCTGGGGCAGGTGGTACCACGGTATTCTCGTCAAATGGCCGAACCATCTCCCTGTGTCAAGTGGTACTCGGGTATTATTGTCAAATGGCAGAACAATCTGTGCATCGGGGATTCATATTAACTTTCTTGCATGGACCTTTATGTTACTCTGGTGTTCTTCCTAAAGCGAGGCTCTTGTTAACCAGATTTTACTGTATATCCTCAGCGGGACTCTCTGGGGCAGTTATACCAGGGTATTGTCCTCAGATGACCAAATCATCTTATCTTTTGCTCTTTAATAAACTCTTTGACTGGTTTTGGTCCTGTTCTTCTTCTAATGACTTCATTTGTAGTTGTATCTCTTCATTGTCCCCCCGCAGCTGTCCTGGGATATTTCATCTATGAACGGCTGGTCGAACGCTTCAGGCACGCAGGTCTGTCATGTGGAAGACTTGGGTACACGCTCTTGAGTTTGTATTTGTTTTCATTGCATACATTCAACATGGAGATAATGTTACAGCTGTGAATGACCAGGGAATTTGGCCCGAAACTCAACACTCAGGAGACAAACAAGACGAACATAAAATCAGACTGCGACAGAAACGATTGAAACTGGAATTCTGCATTGGCTGCTGAAGATGGGAAAGGGGCGTTGAAAGAAATGTCCCTAGATCTGTGATGACGGTTCTTGACTCAGTTTATTTGATTTCATGCTGTGTACGCGCACGCGTTTAGATGTATTGTGGATTGTGTGACACCTGTCAAATATAGCCCTCGTCAAAGTTCAGTTTCTCTCCCCAGGTTGAACCTTGACCCGGCCTAATGCTCTCAACAGCCATCAGCATGGAGGCTTTAGACGAGTCAGAATCCGGCCTGGAACCCCCAATCAGGGCCGATCCATTCCTCACGCAGACCTGCCAGGTTCACTTTTTACAGAAGGTAAGTCGGGTTTTATCTGTCTGTTGGTCTGTCTGTCGGTCCGTCTGCATGCCTGTCCTCCCCTCTGGACAAACTTGAGACTTCCAGAGTTGGAAGTACCTGGATGGCAAACCAACAGGGAAAATCCTCAATATCTCGTACAACTCTTCAAGAAAGTAGGGCATCTGTAACGGCTACGTCACATAACAGGGGCCGAATAACCTTAGGGCTAAGACACCTTGCCCTCTCACCGCCCCACCACTACCACCCCAAATCAGAAAAAAATTGTTATGGGGGCTGAGCGCCCGACGCCCTGGAAAATCTGAACAACATCAAAAAGGAGAGGGGGTGAATTGGAGTTTCCCTCCCATTCGACCACGGATAGGCATTCTATTTTTGAGTACTTGTTTATACATTTCATATTATTTTAAATATGGATATATTTATTTACCATCCCGCACATAGTCATAATAATAATACTAAAACAGCGAAAGCCGGTTAACAACTGAGAGACCGAAGAGAAAACAGGAGTTTTAGCTAAACAATCAATCATCAGTGCTGGCCTGGGGCTCATAATGATACCTCCTTTTGGGGCCAAAATGAAATTAATTTTAACCGAGTCTTCATCTTAAGCTAGTTCGTGTTAAGTTTTTTCTAGATGTAGTTCGTGTTAAGGCACCACAAAACTGTAGGAAGTAACCTGTATATAGTCCAGTATGGGTTGGGTGTGTGTATGTGTAGTCGTGCTACTGCTCAGACCCGAGCGTCAGTTGTGTTGTGAGATGTTGACAACACGTAGAGTATATACAATGAGAACCACCCAAAGGTGACTAATGTTCCAGAAAAAGAAAACCTTGGCAGACAGAAGAACGACTGAGACACTCCACCAAGGAACAGTTCATTGTCGTAAATTGATTTGAAAAATTAGACGTAGTCAAGGTTGTTAAGGCATTTAAGGATAATCTTTGAAATGCAGACAGTCTAAGGGATGTAACCACGATTTTTAACTATTTCGAAACCGGGTTGATGGTTTATTTGATGAGTTGTCTACCTTTAACAGAATCGCCTGTAACAAAAATGTATCTCTCCTACTTAGCTGTTGGAATTGTAGAGACAAAGTAATTTACCTTGTAAAATAGTCAACAGTTTCTTTGACTACTGCACACACACACACACACACAAATGCTTAAGAAAACTAACACTGGCAAACTGCGACTAGAGTCAGCTAACATCCAGAATTCCCGCCTCAAGAAACAATCAGGCTCCCTCAGGACACCGCTCTAAAATGTGGTAAATAGAAGTAGCACTGTCATTACACACACACACACATGCTGAATTATCATTACCTATACCAACTTTGAATTAGATATACCATCTCTAAATGTATTGTTGGCATTAAGATGCGCCTACACTGGTTTACATATTGTTCCACTCTTGTTGTCAACAGGACGGCAATTCCTCAGTGATTGTTTTACCACAACCCAGTGACTTTGTGGAACTTCTCAGCGAACGGTTAAATGTGCTAGATTCGGATTCCATAGATTTCAAATCGTCTAGTTTCATGAATATAGACATATCATCGTTAGACACACATCTATTTTCTGACTCTGGTGAGGAAAGTGACGATTCGGGGATCCATAGTTTTTCTGACGTGTCACTCTTTACTCGTGGGCGGAGCTTTACCGACGATGACGACTTGCTTCAAAACGTCATGTATTGTATAGATGAGAATAATGTGTGTGGTGAAAACGTTTATGATAACGACCATGATGGTGATGATAATAAAAGTGACAATAGTGATGAGGATTCCGAATCTTCATCTGGCAGCAGCGACGATGACAGCGGCAGCAGTAGTGATGAGATGGAAGAAGAAGAAAATGGTAAGTTTATTATGTGTATGTGTCTTTCTTCTTCCTCCTCAACTTCTTCTCCCCCTCCTTCGTTTCTGCGTTTACTAGATGTAATCTTCTACAGAAAATTCTGGTTGTTTATCTACTTCTGAACTTTAGTTCCCGAACATGCGTTTGGCGGGCACATCCGTTTTACAGATCTGGCTTATGTGTATGCAGACAGTTGGTTCTTTGTCTGTCAGACAGATATACTCTGACTTTGAAGGAAACTCCTTTGATTAGTCGACTTTTACGACATGCTTGTCAGGGTTGCGCCTTGTATTAGTTTTAACAGTGGTATTAAGAGCTGACCGCTCAATACGCAATGGCAAACTACTAAACGTAAATTTAGCTAGAAAAATCCGCAACAGGCGGAATCTTTAAAATAAGACAGAGAAGAGTTCTTATAATTTTAAATTTAAGAAAACAATGGAAATAAAACATGTTAAGAAGAATTGATAAGGATCCAAAGGAAAAAAAATAACACAGAAAGGCAGCCCTAAGTACTTACTGTATACACATCAAGAAAAATTGAAACAGATCAAAAAGAATACACACACCGAGTGCCTCAAGTGTCTATTGTATTCTACTACCAATTTGACAATTCACCGCCGACGTGAAAAGGCAGGGTCAGAGGTCACAATCGAACAGTTACACAGAGCCCTTTCACCATACGTTTGCAGACACACCTCCGCGAAAAGCCGCTTTCAACCTGCCTGGTTCGTCTCACAAATCAAAACATGAAAAGAGTTTTACGTCAAATGTTTAATTTTTGTATTTAAATTACCAAAATAAAGCGTGAACGAGAAGGGTTAAAGCTCTAGCGGCGAATGTTTGTGAACTCAATTGTCTGGAAGTTTCCGGTTTCGTCATCGTCTGCATGGCGGCGGATTGATCTGTAGAAACAAAAGTGGTGCTGGAAGATGGCGGCCACGGGCCGGAGACGGTTGAACTCACAACACATGAGCCTAGACCTGCTCATCCAGGCGGGTGAGCCCTCACACTTCTCTTCTCTTCGTCTCCATGTCTGTTTTTGTGTCTCCTGTCGTCTAATCGTTGTTATCGGGAATGTTTTGATAGAGCATGCGTGTGTAGAATGGACCAGGAAATGAGTGCTTATGTGTGAGAGCGGAAAGGAGATGATTCCCTGAATCGTTTCCTGTTCTTGCGTGAACCGTTATGATAACGGTTATCTTTTGTCTTGGTTAAAGACAATGTCACTATACATCTTCAGTAGAATTGTCAACTATGTATCTCCTAAATTAAATGTGTAGTTTTTATAAGTATTTAATAAGTGAACAGCCGAGAAACAGAACTAGTAAATTCGCACGCGTACGCGTGAATGTTGAGTAACATAATTAACAACGTCGTTAGAAATTCTGCCATCGTTTTATTGTTAGAGGCCATTTCTGGACGTTTTGCCTACGACCCCAGGCTCTTTAATCTCGTGTTTGTGATGTATCTGTTTCAGAAGTACAAATAGTACTATGCTGACCAAAGTTCTGAGATTGTCTGATTTCCTGTGGCTGCAATTAAATATCGCTGATTACATTTGCAGCAGAGAATTAGCCTTCAAAGAAATCTCTGGAAAACGGCTTACTTATATAGTTCATTGTAAAGTCCATAATTTGTTTTTTTTCAATGTGGCTACAGTATTTAGGCACAGGATTGTTGGAGGGGGCAATACTAGGCTTCTCTGTCATTTAGATAGAGAAACCCTTTGTCCCTGTCCATCCATTTTAGCCTTGGCTAGCAGCATTCAACAGCTGGTTTTGAAATTTAAAATACTTTTTTTTTATTCAAGTAATAAATATTAAATTCATATCATGTTCAGCCCTCCAGGTTATGCTTGAGATAATTTAGTATAAGTTCTATTGAATCTTGTGATGTTGTATATATTATTTAACACCAACAATTTCTTTCAATCACAGTTGTAATGTTTTTATTTTCAAAGACTTGTACCAACATAAAGACATAAACAAATATTAGTTATTTACAGTTCTGTCCAGTTTAACCTTTCAAATAATTGATATAATTAACATATAATAGAATGGCCATTACCATTTGTTATTGTTAGTGACATGTAAGAGAAAGGGGCAAGGAGTCTATAGCATTATTGGTTTACTTTTTGTCTGTATCAACATCCTAGCACATTGATCTAACCCACGTGTCTCCATCCTCCGATGCAGCAGCCGTCTTATTGTCTGCATGCTCAGCGTAACCAGTGGAAGCTGACTGGCCTAGCCTCTTTGTCCCACAAACTGCTTTCTGCATGCCTGTCCTTGTTTAATACCCAGTTCATCATCTGTTGTGTGCATGTGCAAAACAGTGCCATGCTCAGTGGTACCGGCAAACATCTGTTCTTGATAAGTTCAACCTTCCTATGTGGATTCATAGGCCCATTTTGGGGGGGGGGGGGCGGGGATACACGCACTGCCTCCCGAACAAGCATGTCATAAGAGTAGACTATTTAGAAGTTTTCCTTCAAGGTCATAATGTGTCTGCCTGAAAGGTGAGGAATCAGCAGTCTGCATACAAATAAACTGAAACTAAGAAGCAGATGTGCGCGCAAAACTCACTTTTGGATGAAGACCAAAGTCTACGAGTGGACAAACAACCAGAACTTTCAGCTAGTGAACAGAAGGAAGAAAAAAAGTTCAACTGCAGATTTCTGTTGGGTGATTGCCAGAGCTTAGCTGTGAAGCACAACACAAAAACACTTCATTTTATATAGTGGTATTTTCTGCTGTAGGAAGTGGTATTTTGTGCTGTAGGAAGTGGTATTTTGTGCTGTAGGAAGTGGTATTTTGTGCTGTAGGAAGTGGTATTTTGTGCTGTAGGAAGTGGTATTTTGTGCTGTAGGAAGTGGTATTTTGCGCTGTAGGAAGTGGTATTTTGCGCTGTAGGAAGTGGTATTTTGTGCTGTAGGAAGTGGTATTTTGTGCTGTAGGAAGTGGTATTTTGTGCTGTAGGAAGTGGTATTATGTGCTGTAGGAAGTGGTATTTTGTGCTGTAGGAAGTGGTATTTTGTGCTGTAGGAAGTGGTATTTTGTGCTGTAGGAAGTGGTATTTTGTGCTGTAGGAAGTGGTATTTTGTGCTGTAGGAAGTGGTATTTTGTGCTGTAGGAAGTGGTATTTTGTGCTGTAGGAAGTGGTATTTTGCGCTGTAGGAAGTGGTATTTTGCGCTGTAGGAAGTGGTATTTTGCGCTGTAGGAAGTGGTATTTTGTGCTGTAGGAAGTGGTATTTTGCGCTGTAGGAAGTGGTATTTTGCGCTGTAGGAAGTGGTATTTTGCGCTGTAGGAAGTGGTATTTTGTGCTGTAGGAAGTGGTATTTTGTGCTGTAGGAAGTGGTATTTTGCGCTGTAGGAAGTGGTATTTTGCGCTGTAGGAAGTGGTATTTTGCGCTGTAGGAAGTGGTATTTTGCGCTGTAGGAAGTGGTATTTTGTGCTGTAGGAAGTGGTATTTTGTGCTGTAGGAAGTGGTATTTTGTGCTGTAGGAAGTGGTATTTTGCGCTGTAGGAAGTGGTATTTTGCGCTGTAGGAAGTGGTATTTTGCGCTGTAGGAAGTGGTATTTTGCGCTGTAGGAAGATATGGGAATATTCTAGGGCCACTCAGACAAACCTTTCCTCTTTTTTTGTCTGTCACCCTTTGTCTCTGACACTGGATCTTGCCATGCTTTAAAAACTGAAAATTGTCTTGTCCTGACATGGGCAATTAAATGGCATTGTAAATTGATCTCTGCAACTTCGTGGCTGTTTTGTCTTACTGCATAGGAGTTTTGATGTCCATGTGCGGGTTTCTATGTGCCTGTTTGGGTTTTGGTGCCTCTGTGTGGGTTTTAGTGTCCATGTATGGGTTTCTCTGTCCCTATGTGGGTTTCGGGACCCCGCTTTAGAGGAAAACAAACAAATTTTCCTGCTGCCTTTAACAAGCATGTCATAAAGGCAACCAGTTAGGAGTTAGCTGCCACTGAATGTATTTGCTGAAAGGTGTAGGTATTGTAGTGAACAAAGCCATTTGGCACAGTATGTTGTGATTTACAACTAGGTTATGATATCTGTGCCTTAGGGCCCCAAACATCAGATTTCAGCTAGTCATCTTTTGTTACATTTTAGTTGAATGGCAGTTGTTCTGTTATCCTTTCCTTTCCCTCAAATGATGCCCTGGAAGAGAGATGTTTTTCTTCGCTGTATGGTCCTTTTTACTGCTCCCATGGGAACAGCCTAAAACAGGTATACATAAATTTTTTTGGAATGTGAAGGGAGCTAGCTTGTTGACCATATCAATGAATGGAGTGCCAGTCTTGCTAAAAAAATGGAATGAGCATCGTGTACCATGTGCCTGTCAGCATTAGAGAAATTATTTGTTTGACTACACAGAGCAGAATATTTGCTTTGCTGTTTACGGTTGTGGGTTTCAGGTAGATCTGTACAGAATAGTGAGTTTACTATTCGGCCGAATACGAATAGCGGGACCAACTATTTAGCCAAATACGTATGCGAATAGTGTATCGTCATCATCGGTTGCCTTGGGAATTTGCCTCCCCCACAATCTGTGACCTCCTGCAGCATGTGTGCTGACACACCTCCATGCCATGCAACAAGACTGTAAAGAATCTCCTCTCATTGTCTTCCTCTATCCCTCCTTTCACAGATCTTTCCAGTGGTCACCACATGTTCCATTTTCCCTCTTCTCATAACATGGCCAAAAATAATGTCTGTCTTCTTCTGATGTCTGTGATTAGTTGTCTTCGGGTTCCCGCCTCTTTCAAAAC